CAAGTGACCCTATGTAGGGGGACCAGTCTCTATTCTGCTCTGTGTCCGTGTGCATCAGGGGCTCTGAGGACAGGTGTCAATCCATATGTCAAGGTGTCAATATGTCATATGTCAGGTGTCAATCCATATTGATTGTGATTTAGGAATGTTAGGTGATTTCTGCCCTTTATGGATTAAAACCAGACTCTGTATCAACTGTGTAATTTTCCATGGGAGTTTTGCCATGGATCCCCCTCCGGCATGCCACAGTCCAGGTGTTAGTCCCCTTGAAACAACTTTTCCATCCCTATTGTGGCCAGAAAGAGTCCCTGTGTGTTTTAAAATTCGCCTCCCCATTGAAGTCAATGGCGTTTCGGGCGGTTCGCCGGTTCGCGAACATTTGCGGAAGTTCGCGTTCGCCGTGCGCGAATCGAAAATTTCGGGTTCGCGACATCACTAGTAATCACTCTAACTACAAAAACATTAAGTAATGCAGCACATATATACACAAAGCATGGTGCCATGCAGTGTTTAGAATATCTGATATGCTTATTTGTGATCTAAATACCGCATGGCATGGTCTTGTGTATAGACATCCACTAATTACTGTTAATTTTACCAAAATAGTCTTAACGTAGGTTAGGACCTGCGAACAGTTCCAGTCAACTGATCCTATAAGTTGGTGCTGCTAAATACACTGCTAGCAGTCAGCAAGACTATGAATCCAGAGCTGGTTGCTATAGTGATGTCATGGCAACAGAGGTAGTAATGTTGGTGCAGAGCTGGTCTTCAGCACTTTACCTAATTGAAACACATATATAACCTAAACATCAGCCTCTGGACTTTAACTACAAACCTCATTCCTCTTGCTCTTTCAGGCCTCCAACTGTCTTGCTTTTGGCAAGGCAGTCCCAATTTTCATATCCTGGTCACCAGGGGATTGTCAGGCACATTAGACATGTGCAGTTTGTTTTCGGTCCAAATTTTGATGAATTTCGGAAGTGCTTCTGAAAAGTGGCAAAATGGGGGAGAGGGAGGGGAAAAACTAGGGAATGATGGGAATCTAACCCTATCACTAGCAGGGGTGGGGTTGGAGTAAGGCTTAGGAAATTGGCGAAGTGGCAACCACATTTTTTGCCCATGCACGTCCAGGCACATCCCGTACAGTGGGAACTAAAACCTTGAGCGCTGTGGGCTTGATGCCAGGCTGACATCCCCTTCAGCACATCCAGTGACAAGTTGAAGGATGACCTATATGTTGGGAGATCTGTTCATGTTTCCCCTGAATGCAGCAAGCCATAATAAACGCTACAGAATTAAATGTCAACATCATCCTGGAACATACAGATCTCTCTACCTCATTTTCCGGTATAGTAAGGTGATCTAGCTCTTCTGAAACTGCCCTTGCCTAATATCGGATAAATATCTTCTGATACTGGTTCTAACATATAAAACTAGTGCTGTGTCAGCCTATATTGGTATTAAACCTGCTGCAGTAAAGTGTTGTATCACTCCTGCAACCAGCACTAGGACCACACTTCATTAATACTTTGCATGGCTGGTCCTGAGTGACATGTGCAATCAGGCTGTGGTGGTTATGGTGCCCAATGTGCCTTAGCACATCACACCAAGTACTGAAACCACTCCTAGTAAAATCTGATAACTTGCCTGGGTCATTGCTGAGTGCGCATGGCTGCAACCAGGGACGTTTTAGCCGCGAGGAAAACAAGGCATTTGCCTAGGGCGGTGTTGGCGAGGGAGCTCTTCCTCTGAGATGTCTACCCAGCCTCACTCTGCGGCGCGCGAGGGAGCTGAGCAGAAAGCTCAGAGGAAGTGCTTCCTTGTCAGCCGTGCACCCAGCAGCCACTGGGCCCCCAGGGAGAAAGAGATGGAGGGGAGGGGGTTAAATTAAAAAGTGTTAGTGTGTGTATTTAAAGGGCGGGGGGAAGGGTTGTGTGGGGGGTGCCTGAATTTTGTCCTGCCTAGGGCAGCACAACACCAGGATACACCACTGGCTGCAACCCCACATTCCATCTTCACATACAGAAAATGGCTCCTTCTACCGAACTGGGGAGAGCGGCGCAGTCCTTGGAAGGCCGTGCTGTCACTCTAATAATCATTTGACTGATCACTGGAAGGATGCTTGGAGTATATCTTCTAGTTTCCATTAAATACATAAATAAAAGTGGTGACTACATTCGCTCATTTATAGCTGCCATGTTACTAAAACATCTAAGGATCTCAGATGTCAATAAAATGTACCCACAAGACATCAGTACCACAGTAGACAAGCGGCAGATAAAATGGCTGCACCCAGGTATTACTATCTGGTGAAAGGAAAACTAGTGATTTTAAAGTAAAAATGGGTATTATCAATAGGATATAGGGTGCAGAAGTAAAGTAGTTGCACAGATATTACATGTGTGATTAGTTGTATAATATATAGTCTGCTCCATAACTTTCTGCTGTCCAGTAGTGATGTCTCGAACTGTTCGCCGCGGACTCATCATTGAGTAAACTTTGACCCTGTACCTCACAGTCAGCAGACACATTCCAGCCAATAAGCAGCAGACACTCCCTCCCACCTCCTGGACAGCTCACTAAGAATGCAGCTTCACAATGAATGTAAAACGGATGCTGTCCAGAAGGTAGGAGGGTCTGCTGCTGATTGGCTGGAATGTGTCTGCTGACTGTGAGGTACAGGGTCAAAGTTTACTCAATGATGAGTCTGTGGCGAACCATTCTTGGCGAACCGTTCGGGACATCACTACTGTCCAGTAGATGCTATGTATGGGGGAGCTGCAGCACTGATAACATGGCTACATGGTCCATCTTTAGATTCAGAAATTGCTCTGGTAAACTACAGTAGTGGGCATTACAGAAACATTCTGAGCACAAACAAATCTCACTTAATAGTTCTGGTGTAGATCATGCCCATGCGGTCTCATGGTTCTAATCCCTGCCATTTAGTGATACAATCACTTTGTTTATTCAGCCATAGCCACAGCTCCTCTGGGAGACTCACACAACCTCAGTCAAATGGTTTACATTTTTAAACTGGATGTGAAAGCACTGAACAACTTCAAATCATGTTTCCTGCTCTGTTAATAGCTATCAATTGAATCCATACTTCCCTATCAGGGCCGGCGCTACCATAAGGCGGCACAAGCGGCCGCCTTAGGGCGCACGGACCCAAGGGGCGCAAAAATTGTCCGAGTGACTGGCGGGAGCACGGAGAACTCCGCTCCCGCCGGTCAATTTCTGCAGCTATCTGCCCAGCTGGCTGAGAAACGTGCAGCCACTGAGGGAAGTGGGCGGAACAGAGGAGCGACCGCAGCAACTCTCTTCCTGAGCTACAGGCCGCTGGGATATGTGACATCATATCCCGGCGGCCAACTGCTGTGGAGAGAGGAGGAAAGCTACAACAGTGCAGCGGGACCTCTGTTTTGCAACTATAAGAAACAGTAAGTGTGTGTAAGAGTTAGTGTGTGTGTTAGAGCCAGTGTATGTGTGTGTGTGTGTGTGTGTGTGTTAATGTGTGTGTGTTAGAGCCAGTGTGTGTATGTAAGAGTTAGTGTATGTGTGTGTGTGTGTAAGAGTTAGTGTGTGTGTGTGTGTGCAAGAGCCAGTGTGTGTGTGTGTAAGAGTTAGTGTGTGTGTGTGTTAATGTGTGTGTGTAAGAGTTAGTGTGTGTGTGTGTTAATGTGTGTGTGTTAGAGCCAGTGTGTGTATGTAAGAGTTAGTGTGTGTGTGTTAGAGCCAGTGTGTGAATGTAAGAGTTAGTGTGTGTGTGTTAATGTGTGTGTGTTAGAGCCAGTGTGTGTATGTAAGAGCTAGTGTGTGCGTGTTATAGCCAGTGTGTGTGTGTGTGTAAGAGTTAGTGTGTGTGTAAGAGTTAGTGTGTGTGAGTCTAGAAACTGTGTGTGTGTAAGAGACTGTGTGAGTGTAAAGCAGTGTGTGTGTGAGAGAGACTGTGTGTGTGTTACAGCTAGTGAGTGTGTATAAGCGGTGTGTGTAAGAGACTGTTTGTGTGTGTCTGTTAGAGCCGGTGAGTGTGTATAAGCTGTCCAAGTGTGTAAGAAACTGTGTGCGTTAGAGCCAGTGTGTGTGTATTAGCAGTGTGTGTGTGTGTAATGGTCAGTGTGTGTATGTTATGGTCAGTGTGTGTGTGTGTATGAGCGAGTGAGTGTGTGACGCAAGGGGGTAAAGAAAAGTAGGATGAAGACACAAAACACGTAAAAAATAATGCCAGACAGGATACAATATACAAAAAAGGAAAACAAGAGAAAAAGGTGGTAAGATGCAAAGGGGCAAAATAATTGGTAAGAGGGGCAAAAGTGGGAATATTAGACAGACAGGTGAAGATACATTTTGGGGGCAGCAAAATGTGTCTTCGCCTGTGTAGACAGAAGTCCTTGCACCGGCCCTGTTCCCTATGGTGTCTTGCAAGACTTCATGTAAAGCCTGAGGACGTCTAGCATTTTCAGAATGATTAAACAGGGAGCACCTCTAGTTTCTCTGAATTGCAATGTTTTCAATTGTAGTATTAAAGGGACAGTGCACCCTGACCACTTTAATGAGATTACCTGGTCTTGGTCCCTTTATTGCAGTGTTTACTTGAAAAGTCAAATATGCAAACTACTCCAGGGAGGCTGTATGAGTCACAGCCAGGGGAGGTTAGCTAGGGATGCATAAACAAGAGTACTCCATTCTCTGCCATTTGAGTAAAATCCATGACTTTATTAAGCTAAAATTATGGTGCTTGGTGCACTATAAACACTTTAAAAACATTTCATAACTTACTGAAAGCAATGTTGAGGTCTTCACATGACAATATTTATTTATTCTCTGCAGACATGGCAATGTGAGCAGCAATGCCATCAAACCAACGTGGATTCCCTTCAGCTCCACCATATCCACAGAGTAACGTATATCCTTCTCGTTGATGCTGATGAACGGTAACTACTGGCTGGATGTTATGGGTGACTTCTTGTTATGGGTGACATCACTAACCGCATTCAATGTATAACCTTCCAGATGACTGGAGTGCCCCACGGAAATCTTCAATATTCACTTTAGGTGATATATTCCACATAGAGGCTTCTGTTGACACTACAAACCATGTGCCTATGATGATCTTCGTGGACTGCTGTGTGGCAACATTATCCCCTGATGCCACCTCCAGCCCTCGTTATGAGATCATTGCTCAGAATGGGTAGGTTATGCCACTTGTGGTATTGTGGTAGCTGGTAATACCCTTTCTAAACCAGTCTTTGCTTTTGCAGGTGTCTGTTGGATGGCAAACAGGAGGATTCATCATCTGCCTTTAGATCCCCAAAACCCACACCAGACCGGCTCCAGTTCACAATTGATGCCTTCAGATTTGTTGGATCTGATAATTCCATGGTGAGTATCTAGTCTTAATTCTCTGTACACGTTAATAAACCTCTAAATTTAACTTCTGTTCTCAGATCTACATCACTTGTAACTTGAGAGCTGTTGCAGAAAGCCAGGTTCCTGACCCCATGAACAAGGCCTGTTCCTTTAGCAAATCCACCAACCTGTAAGTAATGAAAAACTGATGTAGGGTTGTTGGCAACACTTGAGGACACAGCTGTTGGTAAACACTCTGAGGCTAAATCCTCAAATTGATTTTTCTTCCTTAGCTGGACAGCTCTGGAAGGAAATAGTGCCATATGCAGCTGTTGTGAGACTGGAAACTGTGCTACAACTGGTAGCAGCCGGATATTTAATCCACGGTATCCTGGACAAAGGGGTGTTGGCAAGAGAGAAGCTCCATCTGGTGAGTTACATAATTTCACTTAAATTCAAGCTACCTTTAAAGCAAAGTGCTCCCATAACTGCCTGGTACCTCTCATAACTTGGGAACTTCAAATCTGCTGACCTGTCAGCATGTGCTGAAGCCTACTTGTTTTAACAGGACCTCTGTCGGATCAAGAACACAAATGGGCGACACTGGGACCTCTGCTGGTGATTGGTGCAGAGCAGAGCCAGGCTCTTGCTGTGACCCAAGAATCTACAAATGTGGAGCTCTGGGTGTTGGTGACCCTTGGTATCCTGAGTGTGGCTGTCATTGTGGTTGGAGCTCTTGTAGCATTTATTATGAAGTAGTCATGGTCTCCAAGCTGCACAAAAATAAAACCTTTTTAAAAGCGTGTTGCTTCATTATTTGGGTAGACCACTACCATGGAGCATATAACATGGAAGACCTAGACATAATTGTATAGTCTTTCTGAATCTCTGAAGAAAGGTAGCTTGTCACTAATCTGACAAAATGGATACAGGGCTTTCGCAGCAAGAGTTTTCTGAAGCCATTATTTAAACTGTATTAAAAGGTCTAGTACATCAGTATTCCACAACGTATAGCCTTAATAGAATTTTTAGATTTCACTTGAGGAGGTTTAGTGAAAAAAATTGTATAAGTCCACAACATGGGAGTTGGGTAAGCAGGAAACACATTTACAAGAAGTAATGCTGTGACTTCAGAGTTGGACAATTTGGTTTGCAACACATGTATGGACGTAACAGGGAATGTGGTGCATTCAAGAATAAAGAACCTACCCCAATTGTCCCCCAAATAACAGCAGACACTGAATATTGGATGAAACAGGCCACAGCATTTATTAAACCTACAACTGTAGGACTCATCCAAACTTTATTAACCTTCAAAAAAAGATCAATAAGCACTTAAATATATCCATAGCTTAACATATATAAATACCACCTCTTGTTCTACAGCCTTTAGCTTAAATAACATCCTTGCCAGCAAACTTAACCAGGTGCCTATGCACCAAAACTTGCCCACTGGGCTTTCCAATGAGGAGGGTCTAATGTCCTCACTGCACCTGTGCATTATCCCTTGTCAGTGGTAGCAGAGTAGTTAGTGAGACCTGACCTGGAATTGGGTGAGGACACAAAGGCTTTAACACTTCCCATGCTGGGGGCAGAGGGAACTACAGTGTAACAATACAACTGTCTATTCCTTACACTACAGAATCCCTCTAAAACATTTAGAAGGTAGATACAGTAAACTCTCAAACGAGGCATCAGAAATGCAATATGAATAAACAAGGGAGTGTAGCTAATGCTGGAGAGGCTTAAAGTGGCACGCTT